CTCAATGTGAAAAGAGAATATTTACTTTTCTATTCTTCGTTGACAGTGTATTGACAGCTGTCAACGGTCAATTTGTCCAATCTGACATGAGGGTTGAATCCAGTGACCTCAAAAACATTACCCTATATATTAGAATAATTAAAATATGCTTTTGACATCTGTAAATAGTATTGAAAATGAATAGTTTTGCAACGGGTCAGGGGAGCTTTGGCAGCTCCGTAGCTGCCAAAATGTTCATTTTGGCACTTTGTGCCCATGGAGACTTTTGTTCAGGATGACAAAATCTACAACATGTCAAAAATTCAGACAATTTGACAGAAACCCAATTTCCATAAGATTATTGCGGGGTCCTTTCAATAAGTTCTTGGCATTTTATAACTCTTTGATCGTATAAATGTGTAATCAAATATTACACTTGCAATATGACACACTCTGATCTAAAATTTTTAAAATTTGTAATTACGCTATAACTTGAAAGCAAATGAAAATCGCATAACAATTTGAGTATTTTCTTATTATTTTGACATGTAGAATCCATTCCTGGAACTTGGTGTGATTCACATGTGCGAACGCGTTGGAATGTGTGTTAAATTATCTCTAACTGTTTCTCAGAAAAAGCATTTTCCCTCGAGTTTTATCTTAAACTGCAAAGAACACGTTGTTAATTAGTTTTTCTTGTTAAACTGATTAAAACTGAACACGATATAAGAAAAATATAAAGCATTACAGACTCAACGAAAATTCACTAAAAATCGTGGAGGAATGACATGAAATGACTTTGAGTACAACTCAACATCATTCCAGGTCATTCCTTCTCAATCCATTGCATTGGACGTAACGCTGGTGTTCCTATAATACAGAATAACCCTTACAATTACAAACTCATGTCAATGCTTAGTTCCATCAAAAATGCCTAGTAAATATTTGTGTTCCATAGCGTATCCAAATAATCGATTCGCTTTGAAGCTGCAAACTGTACACCCGCAAACATAAATAATTTCGACAAATTACTATTTACCTTTAATCAATTTGACTTGGTTATTTGCTTTGTTCGGCATTATCTGGATGCCGCACCTTTCCAGTTCAGTCCGTTTCTCCTGCTCTCGCACGTCCAGGCCGTTGTCGGACGGCGAGTTGACAAACGGGAATAGATTCTGCGGCGCCCCCAAAATAGTTGCGCTGCTAGGCGGGCTCTGGAGAGTGTCTCGGTTAAAGGTCACACTCTTCGAGAGTTTGCTGTGCCTCGCGGCGTAGCCTTCTATCGTCGGGGCTCGCATTAGCCTGAAAGTGAAAAAAGGTGAGGTTTTTACATCCACCCAAACTGGAAACGTTTTTTTTTTCTTGAAAAGGATGGCACATGATTAAATTCTGAAAACGGTGGAAAAAATAAACAGGACTTTTTAAGAATAAGAACAACAAAAATTTTTTTGGCAAAAGCGATTTATTTTATTCAAAATAGTCCGTTGCGACTCAATACCGCGATTTGCAGGGTCTAAAACTATGTCGAATGAGTGTTTTAAATTTTCTGCAGGGATGTCCTTCAGGATGTCCTTTTGGATGGCTTCTACGTCCACACAAAACGTTTTCCTTTCATCGGCAAATACATTTTTCGGAAGAGATAAAAGTTCACACGTTGACAAATCAGACGGGGAGTGGTTGACAGTTAAAACGCGGTTTTTGATAAAAAAAAATTGGTCACAAGTGTTGATCGATTAAATGGCTTATTATCGTGCAACAAACGCCAACTTGCTTCTGCGCGATATTCTGGCTGATTACGACCAATGCGATGCACGAAATGCTTCAAAATGCCAAGACAAAAGTTTGGCCCTGTGGAACGAATTCTTTGGAATTGTAAAAGTAAATCTTCTCCAAACAAGATTTTTTGGATATTAGCTCGTCTGGCCCCTTCCACTCGGCACTTTGGCGCTTGATTTTTCTTGTAAAGGAAGTTTTTGTCCTTTTTGATTTCTTTGATGATGTTCCTTGAATGTTGAATTCTGAGAAATTTTTGGTCGCCAGTCAACTTGTGCGGAACAAAAAATTATGCACACACGTTGCCCAAATGTTTGGGCAAAATGCAATAAATTGATGTTTGTGCGATGCTCAATTCTAATTTCATGAGTTTCAATGTAGATTTTGACTGATTTTTGATAAATTTACGCACAATGGAATCTGCGGTAATCACGAATTTCGGTTGGTCAACATGTTGCTCATCATTTACGTCCTCAGGACCATTTTTAAACCGTGTATACCACTCATGAACTCTGCCACGGGATAGATAACACAGCCAGCCCCACTGAAAGAAGTGGCAAGTCCGAAAGGTAAGACCATGATATCTACACTTTTTTGGGTCGCTGATCCGGTGTCTGTTTGACCAGATCAGGTCTAGATTAAGGTCAATTCAAGGTCAAATGTAGAGAAGCAATTGCCAATAAAGTAAACCACTATATCATATGTTTTTGAGATCACTGAATCCGAATCCGGGATCTATTTGACCTGATCAGGTCTGCTAAATACTCTCAAATTCAAAACTCAAAACAATCAAGTTAAACATTTATGGGTATTAAAATTTGAGTAACCAATAAAATTAAAGAAAGAAAGCTTTAACTCTGAGCCCGTGACCCTCGAGTACATCTTTGGTTAGAGCTTTTACCCATTGTTTCATGAGTTCCAATTTGATATGCAGAGGTGGAGTAGGGATTTTTCATTAATCAATAAGTGGCTCATGTTTTATATTCTAAAACCTAGCATCAAAAGCTTCTCTAGAAGGCCAGACGCTCTTCACATATTGTTTTTTTCGATCCCGACTATCCCAATCACGTAAAAACATAGTAAACAGTAATTATTGTGATGATTTTCACAAATTTGCCATTTATATTTAATATGTATTTGATCCTATGTAGACTATCCTCAGATTACAGTACTCTTCTTTCAATATCACCGAATGTGCTGCAGGTTAGCTACATAAACATTTGTATTATGCAGTAGAACAGCTTCCATGCCTCTCTTTGACGAATCAATGAACAGCCTCCACTCGTTAGGGTTATAACCATGTTTGAAGTGATTCATCAATCCAACGATATCATTGCAGTAAGCTAAAGAAAATTTTTCATCGTTAGAGAACTATTTAAGAAATTCCTTATTTCTGTAGAAGCTTTCAGTTTTCCGGCTTGCTTAGTATTTTTTTTAGCCAATATTAGGAACTGTGCTCCATCCTTTGCCCAAATCTCGAACAAGATCATTTACTTTTTCTTAGGAAATTATTCCTGCCTTTTTCACAACGTGTATCACTAGCACTATCAGCGATAGTTTCATTGTCTTCCTTAATATATTGATGAAATCTTTCTCTCTGCTCAAATCCAGTCAAATTCTTCACTTTAGGGTTCAAAACCAAACAAATTTTTATAGACATCGTATGTTGATTGATCTTTTTTCTATTAGAAAGTATTTAATAGACCTGATCGGGTCAAACGGACACCAGATTCGGATTCGGCGACCTCCCGTGGTATAAAATAGACCGAACCGAGAAAATAGATACCGCATATTGCCGTTACTAAAAGGTTTTTGTTCAGTGACTTCAAGAAACCGAGAAAAATTCATGTAAAGGTATGCAGATTATAAAAAAAAATATACCTTAGAACTGTAGACTGTCGTTTTGACACAAATAGTACATATATACAGGGTGATTAAAAAAACCGCTGACAGACTTCTAGGGTAGATAATACATAAAAAATTAAGACGAAAAGTTTTAATAAACATAGGGTCGCAAATGCCTCCTTAACGAGATACAGGGCGTCAAAGTTTCTGTAAAATTAAACATTGTCTGCAATAATTCTAAAATGCCTGAACATTTCTATTTCAAATTTGCTATGCGTAGTTAGCACCTTAAGACCAATGTTTGGTGTAGTGCTCAAAAATTTTATGAGCAGCAGTGTCGTAGAGACGGGGTCAACGTGACCCTTTTGTAAAAATATTTTCTGCGCCACTGCTAATTTTGTCAAAAAGGCACTATTTCCGTGTAAAGTGTTCAATTGCCTATCGAATTGGTCTCTTGCAAAATTTGAATTAAAGCAACCATTTTTAAGAGAAACACCTTTGGAGAAAATTTGTAAATCCATTTTTATTTTCATTCATATTAGTTTCGCATAGTAGGCTTGTGCTATTCAAAATAAAATTAAACATCGCCTGTCACTAATGTCAATGTGTACAAGTGAGTTAAGTAAACTAGATTATAAGCTTCTTTTTGTCATTTTTACGCTTTAATTTTACGGAAACTTTGACGCCCTGTATCTCGTTAAGGAGGCATTTCCGACCCTATGTTTATTAAGACTTTTCGTCTTAATTTTTCATGTATTACTTACCCTAGAAGTCTGTCAGCGGTTTTTTGAATCACCCTGTATATATAGTATATAATATACAGGGTCGCTGATTTGTATGGAAACAGTCGATTATCTCCTAAAGTAAGATAGCTATCGAAAAATCATAAGACACAAACGCTTTAAGGCTTTTTAAGATCTGTTACAATAAAAAAATTAAGTATATAGGTCAGTCAAAAAGTCTTGCCAAAACAAATTTGCTATATTTTAATGGAACACCCTGTCTATCATTCCATATTTCAATCCCTCTCTAAAATTCTAAACAAAATTCGTATAGCACATCATGTACCTATATAAATTAATCGTTTTCGAACATCGAACTTTGAAAATCAAATTTTTTTATAAATTATACAAAAATTTTTTAGTCCATCAAGTTACCTTTGAAAGTTTCTAGATCCGTAACAACGCCGCGTTGTTCTTTTGTCTAATAGTGATTATCTTGACAACATGTCAAAAATACATTTAGTGTGAATAATTTAAGTTTAAGTGAAATCGAGCGTATTGAAGTTTTAATGATCATAGCATATAGGAATTTCTAAATCAATCGTTTCAAGAACATTGCAGCGTTTTCATGAAACTGAAGGTGTTACAGATCGACGAAAAAATTGAAGACCAGTAAGCGTTACAAATGAAGAAGATTCTTTGAATGTTATGTTAGATGTGGTAGAAAATCCGATAAATTCGATACAACAGAGGGCTTTAAATCATAACATGAGTCGATATTCCATTCAAAAAATTTGCAAACGGGAAAAATTAGATCCATATAAAATTCATTTGTTACAAGAATTGAGTGAAAAACCTATAGATAGGTAGTTTAATTTTGTTGGCAATTGATTTTCTACATTTGACCTTGAACTTACCTCAACCCAGATCTGATCCAGTCAAACGGATGCCGGATTCGGATTCAAGGACCCCAAGAACATATGGATATCATTGTCTTGTCTTTCGAACCTCCCACTTTTTTTTAGTGGTGCTGTGCAATCATCACCATAATCTTTGTTCATCATTTGAAACGTTTTGGTAAAAAAATTTAAAACAAAACTTAATATTAGCCATTTGTTCGATGCTCATTTTTGTACCAATGACACTAGCCGACGTATATAATTGTCAATACTAACAAAAAAAAAACTATTTTTGAAAAGACCTATTTACTTTTAGTGGGTGTAAAAAATGGAAATTACAATAATTACGAAGACAGATTACATATTATTTGATTTCATAATCAATTATACGCCTAAAATATTAATAATAATATACTAATATTAAATTTACTATTGATTATTTAAATATTCCGTAATTACACTTCGTCCGCATAGCAAATTCTTTCTGCGTGCCCCACATCTACAAAAGAAATCTGTAAATCCCAGAGCTTCACAGACTTGTCATTTCCACTACTTAGGAACCATCCTGTGCGCCACATTAACTTATCTTGTTCTCTTCACGTTAACATCTAAATTAAATTAGGTGCTTTTTATCTAAACTTCTTTAACAGGCTTTTCTATTATATTTAATTAGTCTCAAAAAGAAATGCCCTGATTAACAATGTTTTAAGATAATATTTTTATGAGAGCTCTTGAAGAGAATGTAATAAATTAGCTGAAAAAAACTTTATAATGAGATCCTGGGGGGAAGAGGAGAAACAAAAAGGAACTGTGTCAGTGAACTTGAAATTTTCCTCCCTGAGTGGTATGAAAAGGAAACAAAACATCATAATGATACACTGGAAGGACGCCAACGTTTTGTACGGTTGGAGATGTATTAATGGATGTAGCTGACAAGCGTGAATTATTACAGGATTAAATTTAAGCATTTCCTGAATTTCTTTTTGCACTGGCGAGATAGATAAAACGACGCAGACATAATCTTCTAGAATCGGACACTGTTGTGATTTAAGCCAAGACCTTT